CACGAATGAGTCGGAGATTGCTTTCGACTCCCGGGGGGAAAGGGGAAAAAGGAGTGAAGTGTCAAGTTGGAAAAGATCTTGCTTCTTGTTTTTCCGGGTGGCAGAAGTCAGATTGCCGGGGAGCCAAATTCAGAGATTTGTTTGGAATGGCCAGTTAATGTGAGTCTCAATCCACAATCAGCAGGCAAGTAAAGATAACTGTCGGGTGAGGTGATTGAAGAATTGGGTCAATTGAGCTCGTTGGGTTTGCGTGTCACCTGGCTACGTTGGTATGATTGGCAATGGATTTGCTTTTTTAACAGTGAGCGAGCGTGTTCACGAGGGATCTTGCCGGGCTAAGCGGCTACCCTGTTCATTATAGGCACAGGCCCGCAACGATTTGGTCGTCGGTAGAAGCCCCAAGGGCTTTGGGAAGCGTAGGGATCCCCAGCAAACAACTTTAAAAAAAAACGGTTTACGGGTCATTCCAACCAAGAAAATGGGCTCAAGTGATGAACCACGGGGTCATTCCAACCAAGCAAATGGGCTCAAGAAGAAGGTATGGTTTGTTTGGGGTCGTTCCAACCAAGCAAATGGGCTCAAGTAATGAACAACAAAGGTATGGTTTGTTTGGGGTCGTTCCAAGCCAATGGTCCCCGAGTTCCACCAGCTCCCGCGGCGCGTTTTTGTTTTTTTGCCAAAAGTCTGCCCACCACCAGCTTCTGCGCCTCGGCTTCCTGGGAGCGAATTTTTTTCCCACATGCCCCCCCCCTCCGTTGCCATGGCACCCCCAAGGGCCACAGTTGTCCCCAACCTCATCCCATACCATCTGATTGTACCTTCGACCCAGTCCCTGGATTTGGAGACCCCCAGAAAAGAAACGTGTGGCCCTTGTTTCGACTTTCCATGACTTTCCCTTAAAAGCAGCCACGTGCATTTTTCAAAGAAGACACACCACTTTGTTTCACTTTGGGTCCCCATGGCTGCTTCACGGTGGCATTGTCCAAGGATTGGCCGAGAAAGGCAAACAACCAACAGCAAACCCTGAACGCCCTCAAATGAGCAAAATCAGGTTGAGAAAAGCCACTGGCCCAACCTCGAGGATGTATTCGTAGTCGTTTCAGGCGTGTGAACGGGGGGGCAGGGGGGGCAGATCTACTGATCAATGAAACCAACAAATTCCTGTTGGGTTTGCCCGACTCGTGACTCTGAACGATTTCGAGTTCTGACACAGCCAAAAGCGTTTGCTTCTTAAAAGACATGACCTGAGAAACTGACTGGTGTACCAACATGTTCAGTACGTTGTTTCTGCACAAATTGTTGTGAACTTGATTGGTTGGACCCTCAAGCGCACATCATTTAGGAGATTTACCCCATTTTCCTTTTGAAGGGACCCCCTGTCAGGTTCCACGTTAATTGGTGGGAAAGTATGTCCATCCGCTTTGGTGGTTCCCAATTCAACTTCATATCCATAACCCCGCCCTCCAAAAACTCTTCATTCGAATCGTACCATGGCGTGCAGCAATTCGAACAGCGCGCGCAGGCATCAGCCGTCTCTCTCAGTGGTGTTGGGGCGCAGGGCTCTTGGTTTGCAATATAGCAAACCATGCCTTACATACATATATATATATATATATATATAACGTGTATGTATATATATATATGTGCATAATATATCATGGATCTAGTTAATGCAATCATATGATATACATATACTGGAACCCCGGTTTAAGTCTTGTGGAATGACGCTGTCAGTGGCCCGCAGGACCTTTACCACCCCCCCCCCCCCCCATGTCCGATTCAATGCGGATCTGAGCGAATCGGGCGAAAAAGTGCACGTGGTTTTCGGGCTTCCCCTACAAACTGTCCACGGGCCTCGTGGGCCCTCTCCACTTTCAAACAGCACCAGAGTTCTTCCGCCGACTCCAAAGCCGCGAGCTGAGGTGCCGGGTTGTCCGACCACACGAGCTGGTAGACCCTCGGAAGCTCGAGCCGTGGAGAAGACATTACGTGAATCGAGTAGTCCGTTGGCGGCCTTCCGCCACCCTGTGACTCAGCTTGATCTCCCTTTGAGCATCCTGGCCTTCCAAGAATAGAATGTGAACCCTTCGGCGATGAAAGCTTTCATGTGCTGCTGTCCATTTGACTTTGCCTTTTGGCGTTCCCCTTTTTTCCCACCATAGGTCTGCTTGGTGAGACCCGTTGGTGCTATGGCAGCATATGGTCAAACGCTTCAATCGAAAGGGGCCTTCTTGCAATCGCCATGTGCTTGATATGTTCTCTTATTCTGCTGTTATGTCATATTGTTGATGCCTGTTCGAGTATTCCCAACAAGCTTTCATGGTTTCTTGCGGCCATCATCATCTTGTTCTTCCCATCCTTCTGTGTTCTTGGTACTAAGGAGTGCGTAGCAAATGTGACTTGATGTTGCGAGTATGATGGAACCGAGGAGTTTAAGCATTTTATCATGCAGTACTTCACTTCGTGGGCGAACCTGGACTTTGATGTTCCCCATACTTAGTCTAACACTTGTGATTTCAAAATTGCAGGAAGGGCCTTGCATTGGACCAGGAATGCTGAGAAAGCGCTAAAGGATACCCTCACTTACTATGCAAACAACTGGTGGAAGAACTGGGATTGGGGCTTAAACACGAAAGTGGCATGACAACTCGCTTTGGCCGGCGGCGGCACCACACGTTAAAGCGATGGGCCTGCAACATCAGAAATAGAACCAGAATCGCTGCATTGTTTAAAGGCCACCCTGCACGCGTCCAGCCTGCAACATCGAAATTGTTGCGCGGAGGGGCGGCCGGGGGGGGGGGGGGGGTTGGGCGTTTTTGCTTCAGATAGTGGTTAAGATTTGTTTGCTTTTCCTTAGCAGCCCCAAAAGGATGGCACCCAAAGAGCCCGAACTGACACCCTGAGTCTCTTTGAATCTCATCATTCTGGGGGACCTGACCTCGGCCCTGCAATGGCCAACACTGCAGGCACTTCTAAACCCAGCCTTTCATGACCCCCCAGCGGAACGAGCGGCCGAATGGAAAGGTGTGCCCCGAATGAACGTCTCAAATCACCGATCGATCTCTGGATGATCCAGGCAGCACCTACAACAAACAAAGCGCCCTCCAAAGATCATGACATGGCCGTGGCTCAAAAAACCGGTACCAAAATGGGTTGCCCTGGTAAGTGGAAACATGGGTACCAAAACCTGAGGTTTGCCCCTCCTGTTTAATTTTGAGCCACATCATGACATCCGTTTTTTTGAGATCCAAGGGTCCTGCCGGTTTGGAAGGTTGCCTCAGCCGGCCAGCCGGAGCCGTTCAAAGGAACCCTGGGACCTTCACCCCGGGCCTTTTCAAGTCGATGACCGCAAGCACCAGGTAGACCGCATAGAGAATCGCGAGAATACGGTTCAGCGAGCTCCAGTAATGACTTTCGGCATCAGCCTGCGGAAGCGCCGGCGGGCGCCGGGCGGCCGAAGTCTGAGCTGTCACAGGCAACATCATGTGAGTCACTTGCTCAAAACCCGGTACTAAAATGGTCTACTCAGAACCATGCAAAGAATTAAGAAGGCGACCGCAGCTATTTACGTTTGGGATTGTCCCTTACTAACCTTCATTTACCCGGGCTTTGATTGTGGCTCATGTTCCTTTTCACCGAGGCTGGAAGCAAACAAGGGAAACCCCGCTCTCGTGACTGACAGTCAGTGCATTGAGGTGTTCACCCAACCAAAGATCGTCAAATAAGAGGCTCACCATGAAGAATCAACGGTCAGGGACTACATATCCCGTAGCTGCCACATGCGCCCTAGCTGCCAAATGCGGCCTGGGTAGCACAGCTCACATTTCAGGTAGCATGATCATAGCCGTCATAGCCTGTGAGAAGTTCCTAGGTATGCTGATCCTGTATTGGGAAAATTGATCTGCTTGCCCAGAGCTCTGGGCAAGAGACATGGCCAAGTGGCTGAGTGCAAAAGAATATTATGCGCAAACCTGGATCCGGCGGCTCTGACTGGTGCATCAAAACGCTGCAAGAATGTAACAAATATCGCAACGCAACAGCGCACGCCAGCCCTGAGCGATTTTGTTCCCTGATTCTCGCTCGGTTTCTGAACAAACGCCAGGACACGCCAGGTTCGAGGGATGGAGATTCACGGGAAAGAAAGACTCCAGTTTCAAAGCCGCGAAAAAATGGCGATCGGTCAAAATCCAGTACCCCCAGTGCAAAAAGGTACCATTGGTTTTGACCCACAGCCAAATGACAGAGCGCACTCGCCTGGATCTCACCATCAACCAGTTGGGCTAGGGAGGACACGTTGAAGGCGCCTGAGTCGAACCGTGAGGTCCACACCGCGCAAAATGTTCTTCCAACAAACTTAGACAACGCATCTCACCAAGCAGAAATAGGATGTCCATGCTGCGGCCGAAAGGCGCCACTTCGCCAATTTCAACTGGGGAAATGGATTTCAAGTCCAGCCACGGGGAGCAAGGCCAACCTCTTCAGAATGTTTAAAAAGGAAAAACAGAAAGGAAGAAAAGAAGACAAAAAAAGAGAAAAAAAAAAGAAAAAGAAGAAGAAAAACACGCCAGCCAAGCGTCGGATAACTTCAGTACCGGATGGCCAATGCATGATGGACGAGCCTTGAGCCACAAGGGCTCTGCGCAGGTCGGCGTCTGCCGTGAACAAACATGCAGGCATCAGCACTTGGTACATAGGACCACAAAACGCCTTCTTTTGGCTGGTCGTGTTGTTGAAAACTGTGTTGTAGATGTCCTGAGAGTTCTGCATCAATTTGCGTTGGGCAAGCCAGCTGATGCAACTGGTTGCTAAATCCTGTCTTTGCAATATCACAACGCTCCGCTCGAAAGAAACTTGTGGGCGGTCCTTCCGATCAAAATCGGCAACCCCAGAAGTCCATAAGCCCATCGATGTTTTTCAGTTTGGCAGATGGACACGGCCTTTTTCGAGGCACCTTCCCCGGGAGAGACGGAACCCCGTCCCGGGTGTGAGTGAAATATGTCCTTCTCCAGCCCGCAGGCAATCCGCCGCTCCAGGTCGTGATACCTGCCGACACACCGAAGATGCGCCACGGGGATCAAGTCCCTTGGGTGCCGCTGTTTGAAGCCTGCAAGAAAACCCATCTGTGACGACACGTCCTTTCCCACGGGTCGCATGCTCTTTGCTCAATGCCTCCCCCCACGCACACAAGTCACAAGGTGTGCTCTCTCCGATGCTTCAAAGTGCCACTATCAGCGCAGGTTTCAAGCATTGCGAGGTCACCGGTCAGGGCAATACGAGTCAGCACGCCCCGCGCTGTGCCAAAACCTCCCGACAACCCCCTCCCAACTCCTCATCTGCATGGTCTTCTGCACTTTCCAGGAGCTCTCCTGCGGTGCCAAGCCCCATGTCTCAAATGACAGAATGAAAAACAGCGAACGCAGTGGGATATATCGCACTCATCCCATTCCTTTTGGAAGCCCTGTGATTCACCACCAGCAAACCATGTAGATAAGAGAAAGCTGGGTGCTCCTGGTGGCTCATGTGTTGCCTTGATCTCAATGGCCTTTCTAAGTGCCGAGTCATGGCTACTTGTTGTTCGGCCGCCAAAAGTTGGCGCTTCGGGAGAGATTGAAGCATCTGTCCATGTGAAAGCTCTGAACAGTTCTCGGTTGCCTTCTGCTCCCCCGCTACAAGTTTAACTTTTAGTGGTTTAATGGAAAAGCCGTTGGTTGGCAAAAAGTGAAAGTCCTAACATCCAAGCAAAATAAACCAAAGATTTGTTTGCAACATCCAGCCAGCGCATTGTCCGAGGCTCTGCCAGCCCCTGAGTGCATGTGGGCAAGCAACAGGACTTGACACGCGCGCTCAAAAAAAATGGTTTGCAAAACCTCCAGCCAACTCATGCACCAAAAACACGATCAAACACCACTGCATCCCCACACCAACACACATGTAATTGTTCAACTCCACAATGATCAGCATTCAGAAAAAACAAGCCTATCCATCAATGTTGTGAAAAAGAAAGGTGTCCACTTCGACGTTGATGTAGCTCGCCGCGTGTCTCCCTTTTCCCCCTGACAGCGAGCCGTTGGCCTCAGCCCGGCCAGTAGCAAGGATGCCTTGTCGAATTGCAGCGCCCGCTCACAGGCGCCGATCGCAGATGCAAAGGTGGTTGAGTCCTCCGTGACATCAGAAGCTCAACCAAAAGCCATTGGAATGATCAGCCAGCCCACCGCATCTGTCGTTGAGTAAGAATGATACGACCCAAATGCGGGAGTTGTGACATCTACTTTCACACCAAAGGATACATCTCAAAAGCTGCTTTTTACACCCTGATCCTCAGCAGCTGATGGAAACAAACTGGCCCCAACGCCTCCGAAATTTTGCGGAGACCATGGGCACCCGTGGTGCTTGCCACCCCCCCAACCACCGCCCCCAACACCGACCGAGGCGCCGCGAGGCTTCCAGTCTCCCAGAAGACGTCCAGGGCCCGGCGCCACTGGGCGGCCAGGGCCAAGGCGCCCAGAGCGCAGTTCAAGGTGATGACCTGAGCTCACGCCTTCCACGCGGCTGTGGGTGAAAAAACGGAACCCCAAATAGAAGCCTGGTAAATGGGTTGCCAAGGACTTAAACCTGCGGTCCATTTCCTGGTGGTTAAATTTTGACCCATACCCATGTGGAGTGGGGTTCTCCAAGTCAAAATGGGTCTGTGTGTTGTTTCCCGCAACAAATGAGTGTGTTCCTGTTGGTTTCCCTTTGGAAGTAACCAAAAAGGGGTACTCTTAGAAAGCAAACACACCCGAATCTGGTTCTGCTTAAAACAAAACCTGCTTTTGTCAATCGAAACCGAGCGCACAATGTGTTGGACCCGACGCTTGCCAACAATCAGGTCTATCAAACCTGGTTTCGCAAAGGAATCCATTGTTGGCTAAGTATCCTCCCTCAAAATAGGATGTAGCAAACAACTCAGCAACAAAGCATGGCGAGACGTGTGATCATTCCCCACACCTGAGCCACAGTACCCTTGTCAAAGAGGTGGACAAGGGGCCCGTAACCTTTTTCAAGAGGATGGCGATCTTGCAAAACCATCCCGTCCACTGCCACGTTTTGTTGGAATGAGGGTAAACGCCTGGTTGCTCAAGGGGCAAGACCCTCTTTGTTTGGTCTTCTCCTTTTGGCTTTACCTTGAAGCAGCCCCAAGGGTGGGGGGATTGGGACCCTCAACAAATTACACCCAACTTGATACGATTCCATTCAGCATCTGTCAAAACATGCTAGAAACTGTTCACACATGAACAGGCAATAAATGCAAAGCCCTCTAAACAAATGGTTTCCTGTGTTTCACGTTAGTTGCCTTTTGAACCTGCCACCAAACACCACGCATGCATCAAGAGACCTATCTTACATCTTGCCGTTTTTGATGTACATGACAGCTCACGGCTTCTTGGTGGGGGACTCTTGGGCAGGTTAAGAAGGCGACAACAGTGTGCCTCGTTCCCTGCAGCCGGTTGGCTTGAATGATGAGCCGGCGGAAGAACCCATCCAACTCGAAATGTAACTCACTCAAGGGAAGTGAGTCAGTGAGGCAGGGGAATTAGCACGCCGAGGATCAGCAGCCACAAAGGCAACTGTCAGCTGCGTGCTCCTTCAGCTTAAGTTTGAGAGAGAGCTTGAATGTAAAATACCACCAGCAACAGTCTACCTAGATTCCGGGTCCGGCAATACTCGCAGTCGAAGCAGGCACCATGTTTCGAGGGGGCGCTGGTACACCTCCAGTTTACAGATCGCGTTTTGCTGATCCAGACATGGGGCAATGCACATCAACGATTCCTTGTACATGGCGCGGTTGTCTCCTTCAACCTGCTCCAAGACTGATAGCTTACTGCACGCAAGGGATCCTCTCAGCTCGCCTCCCACCACATGTCCCCTGTCCCTGAAACGTCCTGTGCTTACTATCGCCAGGGGAAACCTGCAACTTCAAGCACGCATTTGCCGCCCTCGGCATCCAAAGTTCAACCTCACGTTTCCGGATATGGCTGCTGGCCCTGGAAAAAATGTGGAACTACGTAGGTTTGTGGACCTGCCTTCATTGCTAATTTAATCCCGAACGCCACACACAGTCTTCCCAACCGTATGAGGCAACATGTCCCCGAATGTCCCTGAGCCCCACGCTGTCGCTTGCAGCCGCGCAAGGATGGCTTCGCTGAGCAGCTGCAAGCATGCCTGGCTCAACTTTTTCGCACCGAAAGAGATGTAAAGTGGGGCACCCACTATGCTGATGTTACTTGATCCTGTGTCATCAGCTGGTTCGACTGCGACTACAAGTGTCCCTTTACTGCCTTTGCTTGAAGTTGGTTGTCCTTGACTTCATGTGTCCTTGCATCCTCGTGTCACTGTGTGTGTGTGTGTCGTAGGCGAAGTGGCGTCGCTGGTTGTTTTTGACAGAGGCCAGCTTCCTTAGGTCGGCCTGGTAGCCAAACCGGAGGGCACGGCTCCACCAAGAAAGGTACAAGCAACGCAATCGAAAACGAGCCCCAACGTCCAACTGATTGGGTTGCTTTAGAGTTAAGACTTGGCTAGTTGAGGCTGTATGCCTGATGAGAGGTTCGCGTTGCCGCAGCCCTTGTGATGCTTTGTCCCGGAACGTGCGACATCCAGCCTGCCACTTCTCAGCTTTGGCGCAAGCGCTGATGAGGGTGTTGTAGGTGATGATGTTTGCTTGGAGACCTTCAAAAACCGCTTTGCGAGAGACAAGGCAAACAAGTCTTTTGGCGAGACGGGGTGGGGTGGGAGAGGCAACTTGGAAGTCTGTACACATATGTATGTATAGTATATATATATATATATATATTTATTTATATGCACATGCACATCAAATTTGAGCTCCAGGTTATGCCATTGGAATTGCTCACAAGACACGCCGGCATGGCTTTTCGGGACTTGCCGATTCAATCATGGAAGCGGGTTCCGGAGGCTTGCCCAACAAGCCCTCCGGTCGGCTTTTTCATGAACGGCGAAGCCCGAATTCAATGGGAGAAGCTGCCCGGAAACACCTCAAAACCACAGCCTCCAGAACTTCCGGTTGATCCCCCACTTTTTGGTGATGCACAAAAAAATATCCCGCTTTATTTGGGGGGTCAGTCTTTGGGGTTAGGCCCTTTTTCTAGGGGTTGATTCCCCATTCTTTTCAACCATCACTCTTTTCAAAAACCAGCTGTTTCCCCTGGGTTTTTGCTGGTGTCCTTAAAAGAAGGATCCCTGGAAAGAATGGGGAAGTGTCCCCTAGACTTTTTGTTGTATCACAAGTTTGTTTTCATGTCCCACAGCCCAGGCTCCAAGCAATTCCAGCTGCAACCGGCCGACTCACTCAGACCCCCACGTCCCCTTCCATTTGGTTTTTTGGCCCCAGGAAAGAACATACATATATATATATATATACATCCAGTAGTGATGAACTAACTCCTTTTAAAACCAAGAAGGGAAAATATCAAAATATATTCTTATCCAAAGTTGGCCAAAAACCGCCCAAGCGCTACCCCAGGTTTCATCTGCAAATAAAAGCATATCCAAAATAAAACAGGGGAAATAAAACAGAGAAATAAAACAGATGGAAAATCATTTAAAACAAAAAAAAACATTGGAAAATACAACAGGGGAAAATTCCAAAAAAACAAAAAACATGAGCAAACGGAGGCCCGCCCCCCGCCTGGCCGCAGCACCAGCTCCGCCGCGACGCGCCAGGCGCTGCGGAACTCGCAGGCCGCGGCGGCGGCGCTGAGCGCCACCAGGTCCGCGGCGAATTCGCCGCCCGAGGGCTCGAGCCTCCGATGTTTTCGGAGCTCCCGCAAACAGGGCTCCCCAAATTTCCCCTTAAAACATGACAACCACCAAGGGAGACTCACCTTTGGGCCAAAAAGGTGATGTCTAAAATCACCAGAAAGGGAAATACAGGGACCCCTGGCAAAAGTGGCCACCAAATTCTCTTGACTGCTATTGGACGGTTGGATGTCTGTAGAACTTTTGACTTTGACTTTTTGAAATCAAGTTGGGTTTTCCACTAAACTCACAAAGAGTAAAACTTTTTGCAGAGGGGTCAACAGCAACAAAGTTAGCAGGTACTCCTGGCCTCATCATTTTACCATGATCAAAGTCACCCCCAAAGTGGTGGGCCAAAGGGAAACAACCCCATTGGATGACTTTGATAAACCCCCAGAAACCGTGAAAACAATGACCCCAGCAAAACGTACAGTGGATAGCAACCTTTCAGGAAATGCTACTAGAAGTTAAATCCAAAGTAGTGCATGGTTTGTCCCCAAACAGAAGAATGGTGTCCCAAGAACCAGCTCACAGAGGACACACCCATTCGTCCCCCTTTAAAGCATGGCGC